GATGGGCCTTAATGAAGACAGGCAGCTCCAATCCATGCCCTGATGAGCAGGAATCTCCAATCACCGAAGTGACGCCAACGCTATCAATAACGGCTGGGTGGCAAGTACTTCACTGGCATGAAAGGAGAGTCCGTGCGGCATCTGCTTGTGCCAGCCCGTATTAAATGGAAAGATACCCTCAAGAACTAAGAGAGAGAGAGAGAAAGAGAAAGAGAGAGAGAAGGAGCATATGAGGCAGGACAAGATAAAGTAGAAGGCATATATCCTCTAATTCAAAGAGAGATGGAGAGAGAACAAAGGCTAAACAAGAGAGGGGGATAAGAATAAGCAAGGCTTGCGTGAGGCTTGATCGTGTGAGTGAAAGGTAGCCAGGCGAGCGTGGGTGTGTGAGGAGAGATGAGGAGAAATTCTAAGTGGGACACCCCTCTCCCCTTCCCCTCCATCATCATCATCATTCTAGCTCAGCCAATAACCAGACGGTCTTAATATCCCACTCCTCATGCCAGATACACGCGCACAAACGTGCACGTGCACACACTCAAGTGATGAGAAAAATGTCTTGAACTCCCAAAACCATCATTAATCTAAACTCCGGTTCCATTAGGGGAAGATTCAGCATAATTAGTTTTGCGTGTTTTCTGTGTGTGTGTGTGTCGGAGTGTGTTTGTGTGTGTGTGTGTGCAGTTTGAGTTATGAGTGGATGATATTACAGTGTGTTGTAGAGACTGAGGCTTCCCTGGTGATGCTGAACATGTGTTTGCCATTATTGTATTTCAGACAGAGACAAAGAGAAAACTCAATCAGGTGGAATCTAATATTACTGATACTGTATGTGGAACTGTGTGCCGCATGTTTATGGCTTTTGTTGTGCGTGTGAGCTTGAGGAGATCCTCTCCTGTGAGGGCTAGTATTGAATTGTGTTCTACCAAAAGATAATTACACCTTTGCCCTGGGAGGGTCCCCCCCCGCCCTCTGCGCCCCCGTGTGCATCTCCTGCATGTTTGTATGTGAACGAGCACGATAGTGTTGGTGTGTGCAGTGGTTCTCTGCATGAAGCCTGTGGTGGATAATTCAAGCACTGGGTTGCCCTCACAACGAACATAAAACTATTGTATGTGTGTGTATGTGTGTGTGTGTGCAGATGATGGTGGTGAACTCATCTAATATGACCCACGGGACTCGGATACAGACCGTGTGCTGCGAAGGCAATCTGGAACAGGAAGTAGACCTGGGCTGGGCTGCTGACCGGCTGACTGCTTCTGTGTGCGTTGGGTCCTGCTTCTATCTACATCCAACAACTTCCATACTGCTAATCTAAGAGGTACGGACGTTTGGGATCAAGGGTGCCATTTTCGATGCTATTCACTCTTCGCTTTTGAAGAAAAACTTTGATGAGGAGCGTCACTCAGCATTTGTAGACCTTATTACAGGATGTTAAGGCACATGCACGCGTCTTCCTTCTGAAAACAAGATGGCGGTGTAATGGAGCATCAGAAAGCTGAGAGAAACAGTTCTACTCTTGCTAGGTATCAGGGGTGAGGTAAGTTTCTGTATATATGCAGAGTAAGCATATGGAAGCTCTCAGAAGGAACATCACAAGAAACACGGTTGCAGTGGCATTCATGCAAGAACTTGGACATGGACACATGTCTATGTGCACACATAATGCTGGTGAGGCAGCTCATGCATATTGAGCAGGTACCTCTGGAAGCTTGACTTAAAGCCTCTCAATTATGAATATGGTCCGATGCCGTGTTTGCTCACGCCTCATTACACACACTCCCCCTTCATCCCACCTCTTTGAGAAGAGGAGCTGAAAATGCCAGTCGCTCATTTAGCCAGGAGTGGTTAACATTTAGCAAAACTGAGAGGAAAAAGGCAGATGGGGAGGAGAGGCGTGAGGCAGAGGGAGACGTCCTACATGCTGACAAATGAATCATCAGGCTAAATGGAGGTCTGACTGCACAACTAAAAAAAAAAAAAAAACACAGGAGGTGGAGGAGACAAACACAGCAAGACCGGGACTGAGCCAGGTCTCTATGAGATAAAGAAATGTCTCACTCACCCTCCCCTGTGAGATAGTGCCCTTACAAACAGAGTGATCGCACCGTTATGGTTAGTGATTGGCTTTCAGTCGGCAACTGATCACATTGTCACGGCTACTGATGGCATTACCAAGGTTACTGATCACTTTGTCGTGGAGGCCCTGCTGAAAAAGGGTGTGGGAGGAGGACCCAGTATTTATTCCCCTGCAAAAATGTGTGTGTGTTTGTGTCCTTAAGGATACACAATGTAAACTGCAGAATGGGAGGGGGAAGGTAAATGAGCATTCAGGATGATAAGCTGATCTTCAAATAACTCCTGAAGGGCCTGGGGACACTGTGTCTTCTGAGTGAATGGTTACGGTCAGGGCACAGTCAGTCAAGCAGGTAAAAGCACCGTCTCTGAACTGAACTGAGGTGCTTCTGTACGAGTGTGTGAGTGTTATCGATCACCACACAGTCTGCCTCTGAAGTCAATACGGCATCTTACGTATCCTCACCTGAACATGGAAGGGACATGCAGGCCCGCACGGACGCAAGCTTGCACATAGCTAGCTATTCCTGCATCGCTTATGGTTAAAAATATAACGTTACAGAAAATGTTTCAGAAGTCGAAAACCCTCCGATTCCACCCACACACCTTGCTCATATTCCTCCCTCCACATCCATCAAATCTGGACCCTATCGGCATTTCAGGCACCATAATGCTTTGCTGGACTGCTTTGAAAGCCAGACTATCTTTTATTATTAGCAGGATGAGCATTTGCCTCACCTGAATAAACGAAGTATCATACTGTCGAGGCACACCAGACTGGGCTAAATTGGGGCCAGTGTGTGTCTGTGTGTGTGTGTTTGTTGTTTGTGTTCAGCCACTAAT